AAAAACTTGGGAAACCACGGCTTTTCCCTTGCAGGCTGTCGGAGTTCCAGCCTGCTAGGGGCTGCTTGTGGGGGGCCTTGTGCCCCTTGCCCCACATGCCCAGTCCCTGCCCCACACCTTTGGGGGTCTGGGGCCTGGGGGTGGGGGGCAGCAGGTCAGGAGTGAGGGGCACTGGCCATTGATGTTTACAAATGGGTCCTGGTACAAGAGGGTGAGAACCACTGCTCTAGACTCTCAAATTTAACTTCAGCGAACACATCTTACCTCCAAGGCCTCTCTACGTTTCTGAGTTAAGGCACCCAGATTATCCCACTGGTCACATATCTTCTGGCACCGGGCGTTGACACTTGGGGAGTCGTAATAATCCAGCTCACTAACAAAAGAAAAAGGAAAGAGAAAAGTAAGCAGACACCCAGAGAAGCAATCCGTCAAGAGCTCCCTATCAACCTTCACGCGAAAGCAGACAAAATGTCCCAAGTCCTATACGGGAGAATCTTTGGGGGGACCAGTGGTGTTCAGTTCCAGAGTTGTTGCACAATGATACTGTGTACTGATCTCAGAAGAGTGCAACACAGAGATTCTAAAGTAAAAAAAATAACCCAAATACATTGTTTCTCTGTGATCTATTATCAGTTAGTGGGGAAGGCTGCCCAGTGAGCAGAGTTGTACAAGTATCCTGGGAAAGAAAAGCAGACTTCCATCTGAACTGGAAGCTGGTAGTTTCTGATATTTCTGGTAGTTTCTGAGTTTGAAGGCATACCTAATTAACTCCATTAGAGAATATTGGCTGGCTACAGACCTGCATCTATATATGTGCAGTGAGGGGCACAAAAAGACTTCATTAAACATTAAAAATAAGCATAGACTCATTCTAATGGATGCAGGGTGTGAGAGGCACCCTCTGGGCAAGGAGGAACAGCAGGTGTGCACAGGACATTAACACATTTAAAATGACCCAAAATATAAAGTATGGGCTAATGCGCGGTGCCTCCTGCATTGCCTGTAATGACCAGAGCATGGCACTCAAAGACAACATCCATTAAGAGCAAGGAGGTGGAGAAGATACATGCAAGTATGTTGTGGATCAGGATCTTGCACCACTTAGTTCTTTTACTTCTGCGTATAGCAGGAGAGAAAAAGACCTCCATGCAGGAAGGTGAAGGCTGGCCAGGAATCCTCTGTGGGAAGAGGGAGGTCATACAGCTGAGCATCCTTGGAATATTGGAATAACTGATTTGATGACCAACTATACATGCAAAGGGGCTGGGCAGTTAGTCCTGGAGAGTGAAACCCTCCAGTTTCCCTAAATAAGCCCTGCACAGACAGCAGCAGTGCTGACTTGCTCCAGAGCCCCCAACCAATGTTTCATGCATGACTCATCAGTACACCTCTGGGAAAGTGGGAAGTCCAGCACACAGCTTATTCAGCATTTGGCCTCTTTGTTGAGAATGCTAACAAAGCAGCCAGTCTCCAGCTCCGAGGGTGGCCTTTGAGACAGGCACTGAGCCTGCCGTTCCCTCACACCTTTCACATGTTCTGAGGTGTGGTACTTTATTGGAGCCCAGAGCCAGGCTTCTCCAATCTTTCCCACTCCTGGCAGGGATTTTACCACTTTGGCTGCGTGGCTAACACACAGGCTCAGTCTGCCTTAGTTTTAATCTCTGCTCTCTGAGATCAAGAACTGCTTTGACACCCCCTGCCACTTCATCCCCAGGTAAACTCCTGCAGTGGACACAGGACCACATTTTCAAATCTGTGCTGGTGAAAGAGAGAGTCAACAATCTTGATTTTTGTAAAGAAATACACTCCCGCCCCCCCAACCTGAATAGCACTGGTGTTAGCTCAGCCCTGGGGCTTGAATTGAAGGTTTTATTCTTTAATAATGAGGACCTGGAGACAGGGCCAAGTTGTGCAGAGCCCCTTGCCAAGTAACACACAGGGCTTCAGCCAGTTCCCTTCTCAAACCACACTGGCCACCTCTTGCCTGCCTACAAACTGCAGCTTTCACATGCTCCAGCTTCCCCTTTCCAGGAGGCTTCACTTTTCCTTGTAACCCCCATTCCACCCTCACTAGGAAATAGAGCTGACATTAAATTAAGTTTTTCAAGCAAACAGCAGGGGAAGGCAGGAAGGGAATTCAGCTCCTGCTAGGTCAGACAGGAAAGTGGAGTGTGTTCAATCTGCCAGGCCAGCTGATTGGTGCAGGGCTCCTGGAAGCCTGGGGCCTTACAGAACTGCTACTGCATGAAATCAAACAGATCACCTCATACCAGCCTGCGATCGATCGATCACTATCCCCTCCCCGGCACACTAACCAGGGTTTGATATGTGAAAAGGAGAGAAAAGGATTCCAGGTTGGCCTCTGCGGTGCTGCTATTAAACTACTGTATTCTTTTGCATACAACATACAACCTTCTCCTCCTCTCTGCCCAAAAACAGCTGCTAAAAATTGGAGTGTGCATTATAAGTGAGGAAATATGGTAACAGCAGTTTCTCATGCTTAAGCTTCTGCTGGGCAAAACTAACTGAAGCAATCCACAGGAAGCAGAACAATAAGCAGGCTTGGATACTAGCTGCTGCTACTCCATTACTTACTACATGGAAAGATGTTTTTTTCTTCATTTTGCCTTTCAAAAACAAAGCCTGTATCTTATTTTAGGGCTTGTGTATGCTAGAAAATATGTTAATAAGAGACAAACTATTATTTCTCACCCTGAAAAACTGCAGCAGCTCTCAAACCCCACAAGGGTGGAAGAGGGCAAGGCCGAACAATGAGACAGAATTTCCATCCACCTCTATCTCAGAATCATGCACATTATCCTACCCTCCCACAGTTCATCATCTCTGGTTAGTCAGTGTCCCGGTTTGCACTTCTGTGCCTGCCTACTGGAGAACAGTGCCCTCCCCCTCTAGCAGCGCTGGGGTTGTCCTATATTCCTACATGTTGGACAGGGACAGTATATGATATTGCTGGGCAGGACAGCAAAGCTGATTAATCTCCACAGCTCCCCATGCTAGCCCAGAGGAAAGACTAGGTGCCAGAAGGCTGTCGTACTTGAGTTCTTGTGCAATAGCAGCAATCTGCTCCACACGGTCCTGGTGAGCAGCCAGGTCGCTCTCAAAGGCCTCGTGTTTCTTAAGCAGGGCCTTGATCTCTGACAGAGTAGCTGTTTCATAGTCCTTCTGCTGCAGCATTGCCTCTTTGCCTAGAGAGGGAGCCAAAGAACAGAGAAATGAAAAAGGGACCTAAAGCAAATCAGTTTGCATCCCTACTCCATGCCAAGGCAGACAGGCTTGCCTTCCCACGAGGCACCCACTACCAAGCCAAACACAGCAGTTCTAGCATGCTGCAAGCAAGACACACAAGTCTGCAGAACCACACTTCTCAGTCTCAAACCACCACTCCTAGGTGGTAAGTCATAAGCATTAAAGGCACACTGCTCAGCTCAGTCCAGCTTGGTCAGGCTCACAGGCCCCCAGACTCAGATTTCCAGCATGGACCCAGAAAAGGCAAGCAGTGCATGAGGCAACACAGTCAGAATGGGCAATATGTTGTGCTTAGAGACCATGTATTTTATGGACTGCAACGGTACCCATGTGACCACAGAATTCCTGGAAGGATAGTGAAGCAGGCAAGTTCACAATGGTGTCTTTCAGGCATCATACCAAAGGTTGGTATTTGCCAGAGGCCAGCCAGTAGTTCCCCAGCTCAGAAGATACAGATGCACTGACACTCTTGTTCTTAAAATGGTGGCCATTCTGAGTGTCTGTGTTATTTGGTTGTACAGGGCCTAGGAAGAATGGGGTTCTAATTCTTGCATATATTCCTCTAATGCCCCTGTTTTATAAGTTACTGTTATTTCTTTAGACCCGTATCTCCTCTCAGTATTAATATTTGATATTATTTTTTCCTCTTACAAAGATGAGTGGATTTGGTGCTTGCAGAGGTGCAAATGATGAACAGACATCACTGGTTTGAGCCAGGCCAGAGTGTTGGCTGCAATGATAAAATTTCCTTCCTCTGACTCTGCCAATCTCACTCCATTTTCACAAACTGCCCTCTTCTACCTCTGCTCCTCTGGATCTGTCCAGTTTAGTGACTGCCAATTGTGCCAAACCATACCGTGCGATGGACACCAAGGTATTTTCTTTAATTTGAGATTTAACAATAAAATAACCAACAGCACCCAGGTCTCTTGATGTGAAGAGCTAATACTATAACCCCTTATGAAATCTCTCTCTTTCTCTCTGCCCTCAGATAGATGACTGTGTTTTCAGAGGCAATGGGAAGTATTAAGATTGGCATTACCATCCGTCCAGGACTCGTGAATAGAAGCTTTCTGCCGGAACTTCTCAGCCAGGTGGTCCAGCCTCTCTAGCCTTCGGATCTCATTCAAAAGCCACTCCTCATAGCCTTTCTCAGCCTGCTCTAGGCCTGCCCATGCGTTGTTTATATCCTACAGTGACGAAGAAGTTACAGCAGCGTGAGGGGAAAGGGACTGGTTCAGAAGATGCGAAAGGTTCTTCAGCATCATGCTCTGAGCATTCAGCCAAGATGGCCATAGATTTCCATTCATCATTGTGTAGCAACAGGAAACCTAAGTTTGGCTTCAGAAGTCGTGAAATGTAGATTTGGAGAGGGCCAGTGATTTGATAGCCCTGATGTGGCAGGTCAGGATAGAGCAGAAGCATGGAACTCAAGAGAGGTGAACCACTGCATCTGTATTAAGGTATCTAGGAATACAACGAAGTATAGCGGGAGGCTGTCTCTACCACGCCCCACCCCCCACCTCTTGGTCGGTCCTTCAAATGGAACATCAATAAAAAATTACTTTGTGGGCTCAAAGCAGGTGCACTCAAACTTCACCCACTCACATTTGCCAGGAGCCTGTGGGGGACAGCTTATCTGTATAATTTGAGCAGGGAGCAACTGCTCCCACTTCATAATAAAGGAATAATCTGTGAAGATGACAGGTCTCAAAGAGCTATGTCCTGCAGCGTAGTGCATACAGGAACTAGTAGTTTACACTGAAGATGGTCACACTTTGCCCAGCCCTGGGGCTCAAAGAAGTCAATGTTGGTTAGGAATGGAAGGCAGAGGCCTCACGCTCTCAGTATGTCAGACTCACCGAGACCATTTTCCCCTCTGATGGCATGAATGCTGGCCTATTGCTGAGCCGCAGCTTGGTCTGCAAGGTGTTGAAATTGATCTCAAGCTGGCACTTCTCCTGGACCTTGGGGGGTTTGTGCAGGCGGCGGTAGTCCCGGAAATCCTCCAGTTTCTGTTGCATGGCTTGCATGGTATTTTCTGGTGCCCGGTTCTCCAGCCAAGGGATAGTGCGGCGGATCCATTCCAGCAGCTACCAATATCAAAGATGAGAAGGGGAAGTCAGAAGAGCTTCAAATGACTTAAGATTAAGCCCCAATTTAAATTTTGTTAAAATTATGTGTGTCCTCTAAATTTAACAAGGTCCGTCTGCTTTAAGTTGGAAACTGGTTGTTGCCAGCAGGGTTCTGCCAAAGGCAAAGAATTTCAAGCAATGACTGCCAACCAGTTGAAGTAGCATTATGGTGTCTACACTGTATATACATTGATATTGAGGAACATAGTTACAATACTGTAATCCTCTATATGCACTTAACTCATAGTTTGGTTCTGTAGTGTCAAGACCAAACTGTTTTCAAATTGTGTGGTATGATTTAAGGACACTGCAAGCCTGACCAGGGAATATTAGCTCCCTTTACTGTCCTGTAATTTATTTGCCTTCCCTGACTCAAAACACTTAATCTCACACAAATGAAGTTCTGACCTCCAATCCTATTTTTTCACGTTACCTTTCTGGAAGTCAGCATGTCTCAGAGAACAGTCTGCATTTATCAACAGCTCCTTAATAGGGAGCTAGCAGAAGGGGCACTGTAAGCAGGATACCCTGCCTTGTGTAAGCACCAAGAAGCAGGACATGATGACATACATTCCCAAAACAACTCTATTTATTCTGATTTCAATTCAGCATCAGTATTAAAATCTCCCTCCTTGTACTCCAGGCCTTTTGTTGTCTTGCTCCAATCAGCTTTATCTGGCCCCCTGGGCTCTTCAATCTCCCACCTCCACTCATCTACTACTGATGTTTTCTGGTCATGAGTATGGTCATTTCTGTAGTCTCAACACTGTTAATGTGTGAGCCTTCATCTGGCAGTTCTTGTTACCTGGAACAGCCTCCCCACTTGTATCTGACAGACTCACTTATTCCACCTATTAGTGAATGTTTATTTCCTTTCTTGCCTATCCCTGTAACGTCTTTGGGATACAGTTTGTAAGACTGATGCTATAAGTCATACAATCCTGCACAGCATATCTTAAAAATGGCTTGCTTTTTCCTGTAATTTTTGGCAGAAGGCAGTGACACCTTAGAGAGAACTCATTCATTTTGTGATACAGTGATTTCTTTTATTAAAATCTGCAGTCTGCTGCCTATTCTGTTGCAGATTACCATCAAGCTAAAAGGAGATTACATTTGCCATTGGCTTTAACTCAAAGTCTTTCATTTTTCCTGACTGGAAGAAAAATTACTTTCTAAAACATGGAACATTAATATTCTAAAGCAGTAGTTAGTAACTTTTTTCTGTCAGTGGGCTGAAATGACCCAAATCAGGTCTGAGACAGGCAAACACTAGGACATCACTGCCTCTTCTCCTCACTGCCCAGCTATGGCATGGCACGTGTGAAGTCATCTACTGCCAAATGCTGCCAAAGCCTCCTAGCTCTGGGTCAGATGTGCCCCACAGGTCAAATGACCCTTCTTTTACAGTATTAGACACTGGATCCTGGGTTTAAATTAAATTCTTCTCTGCATACACTGTTCAGGAATTGACAGCACTATGGACACTTACATCGCTGGCCAGTTTTTCATAGTCTTCCATGAGCTGTTCATTCTCTTGATTGACTGCCAGTACCTTGCAGATACGATTTGCTGCTGTCTCCGCCTGTCAAAGAGGAGAAGAACAGGAGGAAGAAAAGAAGTGTTAAACACCCTATTAACCAAATGTTGTTTTAGCTTCCTACATACCTGTGGGAAAGGGTTCTGTCTTCCATCCCTGAATCTAGCAGCTCATCTCTGGTCCAACAGTGTGTCCTGGAAACTTACTGATCCATCTGACTTTCTATTATAACAGATTTTTTCCACTTCAAATAAATACCTCTCTGCACTGCCTAATGTTCAACTGATCCAGCAACCTCACTGTGTTAGTCCCCAGAATCTCAGGCTATCCATATCTACTCTGGAATTATTCCCATAGATATCTCTAAGGTGTCCCAACCACTCATTACTTATTGAAGGGACACTGATTCTCCCTTTACAAAAAGCACGAAGCAGCTGTCATTCAGACATGTCCTCCCTTCACAACATAGATGCTCAAAGCTATGAGTTTAATAATTGGGTTCTGATCCCTGGGCACAACTGTGACAGATGTCAAATGTAAGACTTCCTTAAGTGCTTTTATCTCTACAAAAATGCTGCCTAATTACAGTTAATCCATACACTGGACTCTGGATAAATTTTTAGCTAGTCTCTAAGAGAAAGTTTTAAATATCTAAGTAGTTTCTTTTTCCTCACCTTCACTTCTGCTTCAAACAACTATCTTCTAGCTTACCTGTCTTCAGAGCTGAGGCTGAGGATAAGCCAGGAGCAACCTCACTGGCTTGCTTCTGTGTTTGGAGGGTGTGTGGACTTAAATAGGCAGGTATGCTCAGCCGGTCCTTGCTGGAACCTGGAACTACTGTGGTGTAGACAAGGCCCCGGAGTGCTATACTGTCATAAACAGCACGGGCACCTCCCATCTTCAAAAAAGGGAGGAAGGAGGACCCGGGAAACTATAGGCCAGTTAGTTGTACCTCAACCCTGAGTAAGCTTTTTGAGAGAATTATCCTGGCACATATCCACAAGGGGCCAGCGGGGGAGGTTATGCTTAGGGGCAACCAACACGGCCTTCCAAACTGATGGCCTTCAATGACCAGGTCACAAAATCCTTACACACAGGGGTAGCAGTGGACATAGTCTTTCTAGACTTTAGGAAGGCCTTCAACACTGTCTCTCACCCCATTCTCATTAAAAAACTGGGGGACTGTGGTGTCGACACCTACACAGTCAAATGGGTCGCCAACTGGCTGGAGGGCCGCACCCAGAGAGTGGTGGTGGATGGGTCATTTTCGACCTGGAGAGATGTGGGCAGTGGGGTCCCCCAGGGCTCGGTCCTTGGGCCCTCACTGTTCAACATCTTCATCAGTGGCTTGGACGAGGGGGTAAAAAGCGCCCTGTTCAAGTTTGCTGATGACACTAAGATGTGGGGGGATGTGGGCACACTAGACGGGAGGAATAGGCTGCAATCGGACCTAGACAGGTTACAGGGGTAGACCAATGGGAACAGGATGGGTTTCAACACAGACAAGTGCAAGGTGATGCACCTGGGGAGGAAGAACCAGCACCATACCTACAGGCTGGGGAACTCCCTTCTTGTTAGTGCAGAGACAGAAAAGGATCTTGGAGTCATTACTGATGCCAAGATGAACATGGGCTGGCAGTGTGGGGATGCAGTCAGGAAGGCCAACTGCACCTTGTCATGCATCCACAGATGCATCTCAAGCAGGTCCAGGGAGGTGATACTCCCCCTCTATGCGGCACTG